AATGTTTGCTCGGCATTTCAGCAATGTTTTAATACATCAGCTTGGCTGCCCTGCTATTATTGTCTCGATCTACTAGTCATTGTACTGCTGCTAACCTATTTTTCGAGCGAGAAAGCGGCTTTATTATTGTTATTATAATCCTCGTCGTGTCTCGAATATATGTAAGACGTAACAATTTTCGGGAGAAGAATTCTTTTCTCGGGGTCGTTCCAAATCGACATGGAATTGCAAGCTGGAATAATTAAGAAGAAAGTCGGCTCACACTAGCTATTTTAGCAAAGTAAAGCAGACGACGCAAGGTAGCTCTTGAGAATGCGTTATTCACGCTTTTAAACATCAGTGCTCTCTGAGAGTCATTGTGTCGTTACTCGAAAGAGAACAAAAAAGAAGACGATGCGACGGTTCACGTTACAATAGCCGGTCTTATATCGCGCCCAGGTTCACGTATACATCTCCGTAAGTATATGCCTACGTACAAGTGGTATCGATCGCTTTACGTCTTTTGTTTGGGAGCTTCGTTTAGGTATAAAGCATCACCTTCGGCAGCGCAAGACGGCAACCCGAAACAAAATCGAGGCACAGAGAAAGAGAGAGAAAGAGAGAAAAGAGACAAGACTAGACATCTAGAGAGAGAGAGAGAGAGAGTGTCGAAGGCTGGCCCCGGGAGCAGCGTGTATTTTGCGCAAAATCGCTCATTGAAAGCTCCTTTTCTTCTCTCTCTCTCTCTCTCTCTCTCTCTCTCTCATACACTCACACTCTCGGGAAGGAAAACGGCGACTGAAGGGCGATGTTAGCGCTGCTGCAGCAAAGCAAGAGGAAAACGCCGAAAGAGAGGAATATAGCTTGAAAGGAACTCGCACAAAACTAACGACGTAGCCGCGAGGCAATCGCGGAAACAATTGGAGCGCTATCTTCGCAGCAGAGAAAAAAACGAGAGAAAGATAGAAAAGGCGAGCTGCACGCTCGACGCCCATTGATTTTTAAGCGTCTGCGCGAGTATAGCGAGCGAGTCAAATAGAAGCTCGCTCCACTCATTGATGCACAGTTTCATTATGCAACGATAGTTCGTTGAGAACAATCAAGATCTACTGACAATTCGTCGCTGCAAACTTTCTCGCTATAAAAAAAAGGAAGCTCATCCCACGAACTTTCAACTAGAGCGAAAGTTTCTGTCCTTCTGATTTTAATCATTGCGAAAATCTGTTTAAAGAACGAGTTGGAATCAATGGTTCGAGCTAGGATAAAGTTTACGCTCGTGTAACTCGAAGAAAAACTTTCGTTCATCTGAGCAGGTTGACAACGATCCATCTAGGCGATCGACGACGCATGCGAACGGTCGAAATCTCCGGTAGAAGCTACGTAGACTACAGCGAGTACGTACAGCCAAGATACAGTTCGATCTAACTTGTCGGCGCATTAACGTGGGCGCATGGGCGCGTGGGCGCGAAACTAGCTCTCGCGGCCAAAATAACGATCCGTCGTGCGGTTAGAGCTCTTAAGTTCTCATCGGAAGTCAATGGAAAGCGGTTAAAAGGCACCTATGGAGGATCGCTAATAGAGAGGGCGCCCTGTCGCAGATCAATTAACGGCGGCGCGAGCGCAAAAACTCGTCCGTTTGCATTTGGCGAGCTGCGCCGGGCGTACCTATATATACAGCGGAGACGAGTCGCGCGGCCAAGTGCGCTTTGGCCGCTGTGCCGGCGGTTGCGTCACGAGCCGGCGTATAGCTAGAACGCAAATCGCTGCCGGTGCTCGCGAGCTGCAAAACTAATTCGGGAGCAGCGCGCGCGCGCGATCGATCTGCGGCGTGGCGCGGCATGCGGCGCGCGGCCTAGGACGTTGGCATTCGCAGACCTTGCCCGCGCTCGTGCGCTCGCTCGCTCGCCGCGGGCCTATATAACAACGCCCGAGCACGCCCGCGCGCCTGTGTGTTAAGAGCGAGGACGCCGGAATAAAGTCGGCGAGTGTCGCCAGTGCAAAAGTCGATTGACCGCGCGCGTCACGCTCGCGACGCTGCTGTTGTTCCGATGACGCCACTGCACCTACTCGCAGCCTTTCTCGTCCGGCCTGTGGTTTTACACACTCGGCTGGCTAATAACCGGACGACTGATTAATTCAGTGGAAAGCATAGCTGAGGCCGTTTACGAGAGTACGTATACTATTGCTTAACGTTTAGCAGCAATTAACATAGCCGCATGGCGTATCTGAAAAAGCTTTCAAGAAATGTGCTCTGCCCGGCTGCCTTAATTAGACTCGACAATCATTTGTTGATTGTGCAGTTACAGTTGTGCAGCTCTACTCGACGAGATAATGATAGACACGAACAATCACGATTACTCCTAACTGCATGTTTTTTCACTTTGTAAAGTTTGGTCTATTGAATGCTGAAATTCGTTGATAATACCTTATGTCTGACCACATCTACTACATTTCTACTTACTCTTACGAGTCAGTCAGGATTGTAGTGACAATCAATTTGTTAAATACAGTTGATTAATGCTGTGTTATTCATCTATTTTTATAATTGAATCAAGATATGAGAATTGTGAAAACTAACTCCTGATGATTCAAAATATTACATCAATATTATATCACTCTTACTATCGCTTACATCAAGTGGAATTCAAATTTGAAGAAATGGAAAAATCCATTTGCAAAACTGATAAGATTAAAAAGCATTGTTTTCGTATAGTACATTCGAGTTTTTAAGCAATTCATTGACTAACAGTGAGTATGCGAGCGATTCGTATAATTACGTATTCTCTTGTGCCTGGTTTGTAATCGGCAAAACAGCTCATTAAGCTATCATCTTAATCCGCTCTTCGTCATCGCGAACAAAGTTACAGCAGCGATTGCAAGTTCGTCAAACTCCATCTGTTTACACAACCGCAGACACGGGCGATCGGCGATTTTTATATCATCGTTCATTAACGATTTTGCATAATTAGCTGCTTCCGGCAGTTTTCCCTGTCGCCAAATCTAATATACATATATATACGAAAGGGAAAAGAAGTCTTTGATTCAGTTGAATTTTATTTCACTCGTATGATCACGAATTTCGATTGGGCCATCAGTGCTGACTAGCACGCGTAGCACGCATGTATTTCTTGACTGTAAATGTCGGCTAGATTTTGGCGAGGAAGGCTAGTCATTATTGTATACTTGATTACCTGTAATATGGGTCATGTCAGTGAGCAATTCGCCACATACAGCGATATTTTATTGTGTATATGTAGCTTTCAACACGGCGCGTATTCATTGTTATTCGCCGGCAAATCATAGGTTTTGAGAGACGTTCGCTAATATAGCAAATAGGTTGATAATCCGCAGGAAATTAGTTGATGAGCAAATTGCCAGATGCACGTAAACCATCGATAATGGAAATAGACTGTGAAATGCCATAACAATAATGGATAAGTAGCGATCCCATCGAGCGAAAGATCTAATCTAGGGCAGAGAAAGAGAGAGAATAACAGGTAAAAAGTAGATTCTCAAGTAGCGAGCACACACATTGTGTCAGGGACCGCTATTTAAGTAAACTATAAAAAATCAAGGCAAATTGTAAGTTGAAAAGAGCGCACAAAAGGCAAGCCGCCATTGTACGGGAAAGCGACGCGAACGGATCCGTGAATGTCGTGCCTACGGCCCTTGGCAAACAAGTAAAAATTGGGCAATAGTTGAATCGGTGGCGTCAGAGGTCTTCGATCCATTCCGCGTAAATGGTGAAAGTAAAATCAGCATATTTATTGCGATATCGGCGTTCATAGCAATGTCTGCTCGTTGTAGCCATGACGAGTGCGACGAAACGTTCGACTCCCCCGTTCGTATCATTAATGAGCCCGGCACACTTCCGATTATCTTCAAGTGCGGTCACTGCTCCGCGATCTAACGCGAACACATTGCATAACAGATGTGCGGAAAAATAGAACAACTGTTCAGAGCAATTCAATCAGAGTTAGCGGGCTGCTATTTGGGCAAATGAATCAACGAATGGAGAAAGAGAAAGAGAAAGAGAGAGAGAGAGAGAGAGAGAGAGTAAGTGAATGGGTCCGATCAACACGCGTGTAAATGCTTTAAGGCGTTGAGAAGGGGAGAAGGGGGAAGCGGTTCCCTCTCACATTTGCCGCTTGGTGCTCGTTTAGCGAGCGGCTCGATGGCGATGGGGCGCCAGATAATAGAGCCCGATAAGTGACACCAGCAAATCCGTGCCTTGCGATACAAATACCAGCGCCAGGTGCCACGTATTATTACACGTTATTTATGTGCCAGCGAGGGACTGGCACAGAGTACTTTCCCAGCAAATTGGAAAATACGTGTTCTAGTCGCTACACGTCTATCTGTATACTTATATGTGCAAGCGCTTTAAGCCTCTTATAGGCTGCCGATATTCTTTTTCCCTGCGAGATGGATGCTCGCGATTGGAAGATTTGTCGCAGCACGGCCCATCCGTTTGTCAGTGAGAATTTATACTATTTGCCAACAAACAATTGACCAAATTGTCGCTTCTTCTCTGTCTCTTGCTCTCTGTACACACACGCACGCGCGCTCGTACGCACCCACAGAGCGAGAGAGAGAGAGAGATACGGCTAAAAGTATGAATTAGAAGCATATCTGTCGCATATACCCTTAGGAGATTAGCTGTCGTTCTTTATTGAGTAATATACTACTACTTTGTATGGGATTTCCCGCTCGGATTATCTTCAAGTTCGATACCATTGAAATGTTTGCCCGAATTATCTCGTTGGTCTTTGTAACTTCTGATTAAAAGTTAAGCTATTACTCAATAGCCCGCCTCCAATATCATGTTTATTTAAATAATATAGCAGAAAAATATTTATGAAAAACAGCAACAACAGTTATTTTCAAGTGTAGGCTTTTCGCAAACCTAAATATCCAAACAATATATTAAAGCATTGATATGGGGCTTTCAAAAGAACAACTACATTTGCGGAAAACAGGAAAGCCAAAAATAACACTGCGATTGTTTGTTCTGATTGCAGATACCGTTAAAAATGGAGGAGAGCGAGAGAAAGAGGTATGAGGGCGAAAGCCGTAGTCGAAGTATGTCATCAGCAGGTTGGAATAATCATCGCTCAATCGGCGTAGCCAAATGGTCGACGTCATCGTGCACGAGAGCCTCGGGGTTACTGACACGTTGCAGCCTATTAATCGCCTGTCGAAGAAAGTGCCGACGAGCTGAAAATGCGCGCGACAGAAGGAACCCCAGGGACTTTGGCGCATGAGAAAGCGATCGCGAGGACAGGTGTTGGTGTCGAGTCAGTGTCGTTTAGCGCGAGGCTTGAGTTGCGCCGAAAAATTAGCCAAACGCGGCGCAACGCGAGAAGCTCGGCGGAGATAAAAGAAACGAGCGGCAGAGCAGGACGTAAAGTGAGCAAGTGTCGGTGGGGTGAAGCAAGAGAAAAAGCTAGCCCATAAGAAGCGGTGTTAAATAAGCGACCGAGCGAGCGGAGAAAAAAGAAGATTCGGCAGCTAAAGTTCGATATCCACGTAGTGCGGAGTTATATGTGAACGACGCTCGAACTTGCGCGCGCACTGTGATCTGTGATTTGTGTTATTGTTAGGAGATATGCGGGCGGAATAATAGGTTTGACGCGAGTATTCATAGTCGAAGGACGAGAGGCGGCTTTTTAAAAATGATGAGAAAAATGAATAAAACTCTCTGCCTAGAGATGGGACAGAGTGTGTACTGGGGTGGCGCCGGCAACGTCACGATTTTCACCATACTTGCTTTCATCGACATGATAGTTATCTTCGGTAACATCCTCATAATCGCTGCCGTCTACCACAGTATCAAGCTCAGGAACGTCACCAATCTGTTCATCGTCAGCCTCGCGTGCGCTGACTTGATGGTTGGTGTTGCTGTTTTACCCTTCAGTGCCACTATGGAGGTTTTGAAGGTCAGTTCAGACATCAAGGTAATGCCTCTTTTTCTTTTTTCTCGAATTACAAGCTATGTCGAAAATGGCGCTTACGTTCGAAGGACGATTGACACATATTCTTTAAAGATTATAGTAGTCATGGTAACATTGATGTTTATCTTTGTATCTCACGTATCTTTATTAGCACCTTGTTTTTTCATTTACATTAGTATCGTGTATCGGACGTCTGTCGTTTTCGAAAAGATTGTCACTTCGCGATAGCAGATTTTCGAAAGCCGTTGGTCTTTGCTCGTGTTGGCGCCGAAAATTTCAAAGCAAAGTTGGTTCATCTTTTTAATATCTCTAGTTTCCACTCAAAGCGCGCTCGTCGCTCAAATTCTGTATTCCAATTACATTAGCATTCACTCAGAAGCCGCGTCCGCGCTTGCGGCAAAGTTTCAAGATATTTGAAATCTTTGTGATATGTTCACATTCAAATTATCACCGTCGGCGCTGCGACATTGGGCAAACTATTCCGCTACTCGAGCGATGAAATTACTTGGCTCTAGATAACAGTATGATCTTATAATGTCGATAATTTTACCGTTTCCCGTGCATTAACAATGTCGTTTTTGTTTTTATTTTTATTTATTCTTTTTTTGTCATTCGCGTAATAAATTGTCATCGTTAGAGTCTGCCTCATTTACATGATATTTACACTAACGGGCGCATGTTTAAAATAGCTATTCAACAGGTCGCGCGCAATTAGCACCTGGATGATATGTCGATTAGTTACAAAGGACGCAATATTAATTAACCTGGATGCTAGTTGGCGCGAGCTGCTATTGCTGCTCTGGGTGCAACGTATAACGTTGCTTCGGCAATTGATGCAAATAGTCTGCCGGACAAATGCACGCTGCGCAAATGTGCATTGACGCGGCAATTGATTATGTACGACAGGTGTGGATCTTCGGTGATATCTGGTGCTCGATGTGGTTAGCAGTGGACGTGTGGATGTGCACGGCATCGATATTGAACCTGTGCGCAATAAGTCTCGACCGCTATCTCGCCGTGACGCGGCCCATCAAGTATCCTACGGTAAGAGAGTTATTTCCACAATCACGCGTGCCGTCCTTCTCTCTCCATTCAACTCTGTAGTACTAACTCATCCCAACCACTCTCCCCCGTCCTCCTTGCTTCTTCGATCCGCACCAATTGTGGCCAACTTCATTTCCCTAACTTCGCGACTTTTGCTCAATACGTCAGAGACGATGTATTTCTAATGGTTTCCCATGTGTCCTAAGTTTCCTCCGATCATTATAATCCCTTTATTTTACCAGTCACCAGTCCACCAAGTCATCTATCGATCGAGTAACTTTTCACTACTCTCAATGATTATTCCTTTATCAAATTGACACTTCATTAATTTACCGAACGAATGAAGATGTTCGAGACAAGCTTCGTCGGTTTCGTAAGCTACTTGCTCAACAAGTATCTCAGAACTAACAGATCACTTGCCAATTTATGGAAGGGCACCTCAAATTCTAAAACGATGAATCATCATTTTATTATCTCGCGAGAGTAACCAATTTTTCTAATTTTGATTTTTAATTTTAATCCACTTTACATTGATTATGCACACACCAGAATAGAAAGCCAAGTACTCGATTCAAATTAAATAACTTCAAGTAATAGAACTCAGTATATAAAGGATTGAATATTATTGTGTTGTATTATTTTACTCAGAAATTATCGAAGTACATAATGAAGCCTCAAAACGGTGTATATGAGTATGATATCCATTGTTCAACTTTTGTACGCTAATGATAACGAATTTATTTACTTATTACTTTAAACGTGAACAGCATCTACGTTGTTTTAGTTGCAAAGAAGTTTGCTACATTGAGGAATTATCCCTGGAAATGCTAATATTTGTTTCGAGATATAAAAACTTATGAATATAAAGCTACTAAACGATAAAGCATTGATAAGTGTCGTGAGCGTTATCACAAATTATAATTGTAAAAGAGCGATCTTACTTACTTTGAATATTTTAAATCGGGAAGTACGCGAGGCAGCTCGTGAAAATTTCTAAGTCTCCAAATTACCAATACGTCAAAGAGGACACAGATTACTAGCATGGCGAAATTTTCCTTTATTTACGTACGGGTCTTTTTCTCCTAGCAAAGAACAACGCACGCAACGCCTTGATTTACGGTATTAACGGATTTGAAAAGGGAAGGGATGGAAAGTGTGAAGAAAACTGAAACCCATCTAACTAACATTCTTCATTTAAAATTTTTTTATATATATTTTTTTTTTTTTCAATTTCACACGCATCCGCGAAATTAAATTCAGAGATAGGAATGAAGAAAACCAAAGATAGTTGAGAAGGAAAAAAACTGAATTCGTGTGGGCATTCGGGATCGTGGTTCAATTTGTCACACTGTCTGCGTTATTGCGCACAAGCGCAAACACGATGGAAACGGAAAACATAAAAAGTTTGTAACAGCACTGTATGATCTATCGGAACGCACTGATAGGTAATCGATGCAAACATATAACTACGTTGTCGAACATTTGACATTTGCAAGTAATATAGACACTATCGGTAATGAATTCCATGATCATCCTCTCGTGCACACATACGAACTCGAAACGAGCAATGTACAGGGAGATGCAATGTTTCAACGCAGTGCTTGTTTCGAGCCACCATCTAATCTGAGCTCGAATGCGTGCATCCGCGCTGTAAACACTCGGCGAAAATTCATTTTACACTGGGCCCAGAGAGAAAGAGAGAGAGAGAGAGAGGGAGGAGCTAGGGAACGAGGCAAAAAGCTAGTAGACTAAAGTGCACCTTATATAAACATGCGTTTTTTGTACGCTCACTTTCAACGCGTGAGCTGCCGCTGTTACTTTTTTTGCTCTTTCTCTTATTCGCAAAAAAATCCTGTATACAAGAGCGCGTATCTTTCCTTTTTGTTTCATCGCGTACAATTTTTTTTCTCTCGCCTTCTATCTATTTTTATCGGGATACGAGTTTTTTTATCGCACTGCTCTGTGAATGATGATTAAAATGTAATCCTCCCGTGTGTCTATATTCACATTCGTCTGCGTTTTATTGTGGGGCAAATATTTGTCTGCAGCATTTGTCGCCTATAGCAGTTATTTTTCTCTCTTATTTTTTTTTTTTTTTGTCTTTTTGTTTTGTCGCCTATAGTAGTAGTTTTTCTCTCTTATTTTTTTTGTTTTGTTTTTGCCGTCTCGAAAAAGGAAGAGATTCTGTATTCATTCTGCATTTCTTTCGCATGTGTTCAAGCGTATCACTGGAACGATTTACAGATTTCATCAGGGGTGGGCTCATTCGAAAGCATATGCTTCCCAGATAGTCCCGTTTTATTATTGATTTAATTAAAGTATATATTTAGGAGTAATTGTAGAAAAATTTAAAGCCGGTTTTTTTGTTCTTCAATTTAATCTTGTTCAACAAACGTGCACGATGAGGGCCAGTTGGGAATCGGAGTAAGCGCTGCTGAAGCGAATTTCAAATACTCGAGGACGACCAGCGGTAATCACGACTAATTGCACGTAGCGGCGCGTATACGCTTCAACACTTTTTCTCGGGCGCTATGGCCTAATTCTGGAACACGGAAATTCAGATAAGTTAAGTCTAGCTCTCCTTCCCACCAGCCCTCTCTCGCTCTCCGGTTCAACACCTGGCGAATATCTAACGTTTCAACATAGAATCTCTCGAGTATGTTTATATATACCGGACTAATATCGAGAAAAGTTAAAAGTGGTTTTCAAAACTATTTTCTGCGTTATTTTGCTTGGAATGTCAAAAGTTGCGCTGCCGCCAAATACGCAAAGTTATCAAAATCGAGATACGCTATTCCGCTCGACTTTCAATATACAAAACTCGCCTTACCGATATGAAAGTCCGTCGGAAGCAAGATTTAATTAATGAAAATACGTAGTCGAAGAGTGAGCGATCGAGGACGCAGCAAACAATGCAAAGTCAAATCTTAGAGGCAGAGACAATCGCCCAGCAAGGCAAAAGTTGCGGACTCGCGCAGCCGAAAGCGTTCAGGAGTGTACGCGCAATCTGAAAGAGGCAAACCCACTCTCTCTCTCTCTCTCTCTCTCTCTCTCTCTCTCTCTCTCTCTCTCTCTTTCTCGGCGACGGCGGTGACTGAGCGATAAATATTAACGAGCGAAAGAGAGGGCGGGCGAGTGCTTTTTTTATCTCCTTCAATAAATTCGCCGGAGGAGTTGCGTCCGCTTTATCGAGCTGCTTGGGCGTTGCGCGCGCGAAGGCCGAACTTAATCTTCCGCGTGCACCACCTCGGTGGCCCATCGATCGACGTTGCCGTGCTGAGCATCTCTTGCTCCCTCTCTGCTAGTAGACGGGCGAGAGAGAGAGAGACTTGCCTCGGAGAATGGAATCGGAGTACAGGCCAGCAAACGGATTATTTATAATGGTGCGTGATGCACTTTTTTATACTCCTCGTTGGAAAAATCACTCGTCGTCGCTATTCACGTACGTTTCAAGATGGATTCTCTACAAACAGCTACACGTTATTGTTTACGAATACTGCGATTTTCGGTTGGCTCTGTGCACGTAATAACCAGAGTTGCAGGTCAACGTTTGTTACTCTGAATTTAAATTCAGTGATTGCGATCGCTAAATACTGACTTATAAATTAGAGCAAAGTGCGTAATAACGGGTAACACTAAGTGAATCAATTTTTGTAAAACGATAAATATAGATTTATTTAAGTAGTGGCAGGCCATATATGGTCAGACGATAAGTTGCGGAATGTACATGCCGGTTCTATATGTATATTGTGAAACTAATAAATTTTCCAAATAACTCACTTGATTGATTGGAGCTGATCTAGAAAGAGAATTTTAGGGGTTATAAATGTACAGAAAAGTGTGCACATAGAACTGAGTTATTGATATCCAGTAGTGATTCATGTTCAGTAAATTCACGAATAAAGACATAAAGAACCCATAAAGTTAGCGCGGTAGGAGAAAAGTGAGATGGAAAAGCGCGAGCCGTGAGGGGCAAAGAAGCTTCGTGTGGACGAGCAGGACCGAGTGATTTCACGCCGAAATTGGCCTAGTACGAGTGCGAGACAATAGAGGTGAGGTCCGCGGCGCGCACGCGACGGCATAAGCCGGCCGACAAACGAACGCGCGCGTTCTCGTTGTTCCGTATTTGTGCACAATCTACGCGGCGCGTTTTATGCCTCCTGCCCTCGCTCGCGTTTCGCTTTCCGATTATTATTCCGTAGCAGAAGTATAAACGGCGGCCGAACGACCGCAAGCTCCTTATCCAAAACTTTTGCGGTCACGATGATCAGCTTATCGAGTAACTGCGCTCGCTGTCGGCCGATGCTTATTTCTTGCTCCTTCGCATCGGTTGAAAATCATCTGTAATTATGAAGATAGTCGGTAATTCAAATACAACACTCGCGAGACCGAAGATGCAGAATTGTGGAAAAATCAAGAAATATTGCACAATTCAAATCAATATCATTGTTTGAAATTCTATATGAAAGCCACCTTACATGTACTTTCTTTTACACGTAACTTCAATTTTACATAAAAAACGAGAAGGAAAATGATCACGTTTTCATCTTTTTTCCTCTTTGAAATTGTGTATAGGATGCCCTTAAGAATTCTATGGTATTCAAATGGCAATGGCAGTTTTTTTTTTGCTTTTTTCACAAATATATGCTTTTTCCAATAGCAATACAACAACTCGGCGAGAGTAAGATTTTTCAAACCAATTTCGCATTCGTGATGTCTGTATGTTGAAAAAAGTACATTTGACAAAAGCAATTCAGTAATTTTATACGTAAATTTATTTATGAACTGTATTTTGAAAATAATATAAAACTGCGTGCAACCAATTCATGAAATGTCCCTAGTGCCGTTAAGTCCCTCGTAACAAAACAGAATTTTCGAGAGAAAGCCGTGTTCGTTTCGTACAAATACCGATTCTACGTGATTTGATTCGAAGCAAATTGAAAAATTATGTTTATTTAACATTGTTTACTACGTGACAAATAAAGTATTTTCTTATGAAATGAAATATTATTCGACGTTGAATTTTTTTATAGAAAAATTAATAAATGATTAATTGACACAAAATATTCTATACAACATAATCATACATTTGATTATTTTTCAATAATGAGCAGAATTTTCAATATCTCAAACGTTTATTTAATCCTACAGAAATATTTCATGTACAATATTTCGAGTCAATTATCAAAGTGGATGCCAGTAGTCTGGATTCCATCTTAAAATATAGGTCCAGTCATGATGCATATAAAAACATCCCCCCGCACCTTTCCAAAGATAGGTCTACATAAATGTTATTTTCTGTTTTTTGTTCAATGAAAAATATGCAAGAAAGATATCACCTGGCCAATCATCTTATAAAATCCATTCTACCATTCATTGACCTAATCCAACAGATAACAACCATTTAATATCGTATGATAACGTCTTGAGGTTTGGGGAGAAAGAATGCTCTCAAGTGATTTGCACATATAATCATGATTGTAACAAGATTATCATTATGAGGAAGTATTAAAAAAATTCTTCTTAAACAGTCAGCGAAAAATATCATATGAAATATATTGCAAAAAGATTTACACTATTCATTGCTTTATTGTGAAATCTAATTTTTTAATGTTACCGGTGTTCTGGTCCAAAATGCAGATAATGTCACCAAAGCGAGCTAAGTTGCTGGTGGCTATAGTCTGGGTGCTCAGCTTTATCATCTGTTTTCCACCTCTGGTTGGCCAGGGACCTAGGACAGAAGTATGTATAAATTCGCGATTTATCTATTCCATGGATGGGACGCATCAATGAGCAAGCTTGCAATCCACTTTTTAGATTGGCTATTTAGCACTTGTTTACCCTTTAATCTTCAATAGTTTTGGAAAATAACAACGGTAAAAACTTTACTAACGTTTTTCTTTTAATTGCTTCGTAAGATGGATTTGAATTGAATTATTGTAGGTGAACGATCGGTTCAGGTACTCGTTTATAAAAAAATACTATATTTTCTGCAGATAAACTTGATAAGGTAATCTGATTTTCTGTAGATAGATGGCAAGTCCAAGTTAATTATGAGCTTGTGAACAGCGCATAAACGACTTCTTTGCGTCAAATTATAATTACTCGCCGGTTACTCACTGCTGCTCATTTGCTACTTTCCGTTTGAAAGTAGATCGTCTCAAAGTACGAAATTTATTCGAGTAAGTTTCGCGCTGTCGCTTCCAAGTTTGAGATTTTTGAGGCACCTTCCACTCGTTCTATGAGCGCAACTTCAGAAGTTGTCTCAAAACTTTTCCATATTTTACTTAGTGTCCACGATATTGCAGTTAAACGAGTTTTAATGAGATGTCGCACTACCCTCTTTACGAGATTTTAGCTTTTTCAGCTTACCTTTGACACTTGCACTATTTCTTCTTTGGTTTAAAAAAGAAATTGTAATTGCTCTTCAAGATTTCAAAGTATCACCTTATCCTGGAGAAGTGTCATCTCGAACTTACAAAGCGTCAATATGAATCAAAGTTATCAAGTAAATACTTGATTAGTTGGTCATTATGGTAGAATAAAAGCTAAAACCATTGAAAATGCGATAGCTGCTCGATCAACTCGGCAAATCAATTCTCAACGTATTCAGCTCGGCATTGAGTTTCGTTGTGTAGACGCTTGCGCGTAATAGTTTTAGAAGAACAGCTTCATTCGGTAAAGCATGCCCTCGGGGTACCTTAAGTTCTGATTAGGTCTCGAGGTAGTATCTCCGCGACACAAGCAATTTGCAAATGAAAGCAATAAAAAGGAAGGACGCGCGCGGGCAAGGAAAAGCGCGTGTAATCTAAATGAGCGCACGTGGCCAGGGGAAAAAAGAAGTCGACGTTAAGTATCCAGCGATAATGCAGCTTGCTCATAGTCGATGCTCGTTGATTAGAAGAGTGACTGTTTGAGCGTATAACTTTGGGCTTAACGCGCGGTCAGTTGCAGGACAACTCCACGGCGCCGATATCGAGCGACATGGAAAGCAATTCTACGCAATGGTTCAACAATATGACAGTTCACTTAATGGAGGAGTTCATGCTTTGTCCATGGACGTGCGAGCTCACCAGCGACACAAGTTACGTTATTTACAGGTGAGTCTGTCGTTATCGCCGATATCCTGCTTGCACTTCCTTTTTCCTTTTTTTCTTTTATACGCATGTAACATCGTTTAACTATATAATACCAGACACTCGACACGCTCCAGCAAAACTGTTCAGACAAGCGCGCCGACGTCTTCGTGCTTCGATGTCGAGACTTCTGCTACAACAAATTTATTCAAATGCACTAAGCTTCGTGCATTTTTACAACGTACAATTTCATAGTCTGACTTTTAATACCGTGGAGTCTATATACGTGACGTGATTTGCGTCAATTGTATATCGGATCACTTTGCATCCGAAGTAGTTTCAGCATATATCGATAGTTGAAAATTTATTGGGTGAAGCTACATTAACGTTGTCGGAAGAGTGCTTTTTTATGTAAATGAGAATGAAAGATAGAGAACTGACAAATTTCGTGATTCACCAAACTTGTCAATTCACTGAAATACTATAAGTTAAGAAATTAATTGAGATATATATCTTGAATTTAAGTTTAAAAGGGCTTGAAGAGCATGGAGCATTTTTTCTATATTTTTTTTCGTTGAAAATATATTTGAAATTTTCTAGATGAAGAGAGCATAATTAGTTAAATTTTACAAAGACACATTTTTCCGTGTTGCTTTCTACTCTGAACTTGATTGAAGAGCGCGGCTTTGTCAAACTAAAATTAACGAACTAGTTTATTTAACAATGTCCACTGACGCTTTTCTCTTCTCAGCCTTGAAATTTCAGTTTTATTGTGCGAAAAGCTTTCGTGTCTATGACTTTAAAGGTAAATGTTTATGTCATAAGAGAATGGAAGTTATGAATGAAATTGTTTGAAAGTATTTTAATAACGTACTTAACACTTTAATTGGAGACAAATCCATTATCCGCTAGACTTGTAATCAGAAATGCCTTTTGCTTGGCTACAATTTCACAAAAGACCGAGCCGTGGGCATGCGTTTAATTAACAAGGAAAAGTCTTGGGCGCTGCAGGTAAAAACGCGAGATAGAAGCGTGTGGAGATAATGTGCGGCAGTTAGCTGCGGGAAATCTCGTAGGCTTGAATTAATTAGCGTTGATTAACATTCCCTCGTGCCACAGAAACATTTCTGAGTCGTCGCGATGTCAACTATAGCGTTCGGAGTGCGGCGGCCACTTCAGGGGCACAGTCGTTGTCGGGCTGAGCGGGTTCGTGCCGCACGAGCGACGCAGCAGCACACGGTGGACGCCTACTGTCGGCTGTCGACTATGAGAAAATTAATTATATTCCCGCTGAATCTTGCGACGCGAAACCTTTCGTTAGCCTCTTTTGCCCCAAAGCTATACAATTATAAAATAATTACGCTCATTCAATAGCTGGAGATTCCGTCTTTCGTCTGCTTTTCGAGAGTTATAACAAGTCTCTCTGGCTTTACCAAAAGTCATGTCAACTGTGTATTTCCAAATAGATTATCAACATGTTGGAACTCATTTCTACATATGTTTCTCTAAATTTTTTTCGAAACAACTGATTTATTCATTTTTTGTAAAAGATGAGTCTTTGCTACAAGAAGCAATTTTTTTGTAACAATATTTGCTTAAACGCAATTGCTGAACATAACCGTGCTAGATATTTGTAGTTTACTGCAAGAAGTGTTACTATTTTGTTAATGATTGCATCATTTATAGAGTACTATAACACAGTAGCTGCTAAATATTCGAAATTTATTGTTCTTTTATTATACGGACGTCTAGCATTTTTGAAAATAAAAATATATAAGTAAAATATATCATTACATAAAATATTTTCCATTTATGAACTTTGTAATGCAGTGAATTAAAAATTGCCATGTTTTGAGAATAAAAGCGAAATTATATAAATTTTTCAAATGACTTTCATAAAGTCTTTCGTTATGTTCTACAGTACATGATTTGCAGATGTTCCTTACTTTAAACACCAAATAAGGGATCAACGTGATAAGCGCTTCCATGTTGGAAGGCGCACGTACGTAGATTAAACCGTTTATCACCAGGGACTTAAATTGATTTAGATGAAATCTCACGCAAATGGCAATCCAATCCAAGATAAGTGCTACGGTTTATCGTAGTTATCCGTAGTAACGACTTAAAGATCTCGATGATATGAACAGCTCCACCAGCTTTCAGATCTTTAATTTGTCCACACTTGTTGTACATTTTACTTGTATCACCTGCACTTTAAGTGAAGAGAATTTTTAATTTAAAAATGTCATGTATCTGGTTTCCTCATTTTTAGCGAGCCAATAATACATAATACTTAATAACTATTATGCGTTATTCTTTATTAAACAAAACCATATTCAATCCTTAAATGCTACACATTAAAATGAATTTCTTTGGATTCATTCTTTCAAAATCTATAAATAAAGTATTTGATGAAAATATCTATTGATTTCGATTGCAAAAAGTTTGAAATTTCACTGGAAAACAATGTTAAATCTAAAGACTAATTTGTTTGAAGATTGTTCTGGCTTAACATTTTTTGTGTTCGTTTACGTTGTTCTCGATAAGTATAGGCGAAAACAGAAACAAAACCTTTTTGACGTTTCGTTAATAGATTTGTTAGCGTCCTCAGGAAAAATAATCAACCAAAAATGCTGTGATCAGAACAAATATCATGTCATGAACAAATGTAGCATAGGTTTTTTTTTAAAGTGAAAATTTCACCTTATAAAGGAGGCATCGTAATAGAGATATGCGCCAGTGTTTATTGATATACTTGCAGTAAAATTATTTGCTCATTTTGTGGTATATATGATTGAACCATTCAATGTCAATGATGAGAAGTTCTTTCATTTTGTCAATTACTAACCACGTTAATTTCATATAACGAAAAATGCCCAATGCGTATTCACATTACAGTTTGAATTCCATCAACAGCTACTCTCGTTTCATAACATGAGTTTATTAGAAAACTACACGGAATATTTTAATAAAAAATAGCTTATAGTATAATAATCAATGGTGTATACATATCATTATACGTTCCTAAGTAAACGAACGACAAATTGTTCGCACGAAAGACATCAATGAATCATAACTTGGATAAGAAGCAAGGCATTTGCTTTGCTTTCATTAAAAATAAATAAGCAGAAAATGAGCTTCAAACGAACGTCAAGCCGTAGATTGAGCTTATTGCTGTTTAAAACGAAGGAAGACTTTAAAAGCATACTCGCTCTGTCTCTTTCTCTCCTGCACCTGTTGAATGCAAAACCTCATGCACTTGCTACATTTTCATCATTTTTTTCACTGTCTATTCTCTGATATTTTTTTTCAGTGCTCTCGGATCCTTTTACATACCGACACTGGTCATGTTATTTTTTTATTGGCGTATCTACCTCGCGGCTGCGTCGACTACTAAAGCCATAAATCGCGGCTTTCGTACGACAAAAAGCACCAAATCGTCGGGATCCCAGTAAGTACTATTTTATTTATAAGTGTATTTTTGGACTTTCCAAAAGTGTAAAGAGAATTCCTTTCATTAAATAAGATTTAGTTGTACAACTGAAAAACACGAACAATATTACCTCGAAAAATTACCTTTGAAAGTAAAACTAACTTAATATTAATTTTAATTCTGCAAGTATAAGCTGCCAAAGTGAGCGTATTTTCAAGAACAAGTCTGAAGGGAGATTCTCTTTTTCGCGAAGTTTGCTATTCTGAAAATTTCCCGAAGAAAAAACGTTTTAGAGAACACTTCGTTAGCTGATTATTTTTCTAATATCTACTAGAACCGTAAAGCAATGTAATGCTTCATTTACATATGTTTACCCTTTTAATTTTCTTAGCTAAGGAGCTTGCATTAGTGTACTAGTTTAATTTGAAAAATTGTAAAATAAAATCCGTGTCATACTCAAAATACGTTTCGAAAATTTCTGCATAAACTAATTGAAAATGTTTGATGAAAGTGACCTCGGTTGACTCACTGCAACAGACGTTTAATCATTGAAAAACGAAAGAAAAAGGAATGGGTTCTCATAGCATAATAAATAGAAATAGAAAAAAAAGGCAATTGCTTGTGTGTGTGACAGGCCCGACGAGCAGCGGCTGACCCTGAGAATACACAGGGGCAGAGGGACGAGTGATCATAACGGGAGCAACGGTAGCCCCAGAGAAAGCGATTCACGGAGTCCCTCGAAGCGCGATCGCATCAAGATCTCGGTTTCTTATCCGAGCACCGAAACTCTCAACACCAAGTGCAACAACTCGCTTGAAAGGACACCCTCGAAGTGCTCTCAAGTGTCCGTACACTATGCCAACGGCCAGACCCAGAGCCAACTCTGTCCCTCTTCCAAATCCACACACTTGAAGGTAATCAGAGCTTTCTCTTTCTGCATTTTCATCTACATTTAACACGAGACTTGCCAACTTTTTTTCACCGAGATAGTTCGCAGAATGAAAGTTTTGTTCAGCGTGTTTAACGATCTCGTAAGCATCTGTCAGAGTTTTAGATAAAATATGTTACAAGGGGCGATAATCAATAGATAAAGAAAAGTAAACCGTATGCCGCGATGTAATGTAACTCAATGTGCTCCTTCATGGCTTCTGGACAATCTCTGTGAATGAATGACGTGCACTTCGAGTCGGTAACAAACAAAAAGACGAATGATTAAAAACGTGTACTCATCGTCGACGGAAGTTAAGAATGCAGCTTAATCGACTTTAAAATTCTCCAGAGAGGAAACAAGTAACGGCCAAAATAATTTTCGCCAAATTGTCGTTCAATCAAGTATAATTCAATAAGCAGAATGAAAGAGGAGAAAAAGCAATAATGAAAAAGAAGGAAGAAATGGGCGCGAAAAGTAGCGCGACGCTGCGGTGGCTGAGTCAACGAACTGTTTGGATTGACGGTTCGGTTGGCTGGGCCGCACCAGTATATCGGAGCCGTTACATAAGCGATATCGAGTCGATCGAATTAATCGAGTGGTTATGTTATTTAGGTCGGCGTTGCCGGCAGTGTCGGCCGAGCTGGAAGCGCTAGGAGGGCTTCGAGGCGCAGCAGCTGCGAGAGCCAAGCGGCCGGGGACGCGGTCTCGCTGCGCGAATCGGCCCCAGGCAGCAACGAGGAGAAACCCCGTGTTATGAAAATGGGCAAGCGCAATATAAAGGCCCAGGTGAAACTCCATCGCTAATTGCGGCGAAGTTGCCCGTTTACGAGGCTTCCGCGCTCGTGTGCACGCGCAAGTTCTGAGATACGACACGTGAAACCGAATATCCATTGAGGCTTTCACGGCAGCCAACGCATTATGTCTATTCGATGCGTTTCCGAAACGCCATACAATGCAACCGCCACAATTACGTTGCAAGCTCGTGATTTACAATGGATTTCAACTCCATATCGCGTCTCTCGCTATAATCGTTTATTTGTGAAAAGGAGCGAAATAGAATTACCCTGCTCAAGTTTGGCGATTATTTGCTATGCGCCTTGCTAATGCCCCGAGGCAAACTAATCTTCTGGGCTGCGTATTAACGAGGCAGCGAGTGAAACCAGTCTTTCTCCTATATGTAAGACGCCTGTTAATTACTTAGCCATCCATTGAGTAAACTTATTAATTGAACTTGATTAATAACTACTGCCGAGTCGGACACTTTCATTGGCTTTATTAATGAGATTTTATCGAGTTACTTGGTTCGTAACTCGCTCGTAATTCTATCAGAGTTTTGCAAAATCGTGTCCGCTCGAAATTGAAATGAACTTCTTAATACGTCTTGCAACTCTGCGCGTTCAATTCATTACGTTCTAAAGCTTTGATCGTTTTTGTTGGGCGCGGACCGCGGTGATCGCTGATAATGCCGCAGTCACGCACAAGGATATTCAACAAAGCGATGGATGTTTCAGGTGAAGCGAATCCGAATGGAGACGAAGGCTGCCAAAACCCTGGGAATCATCGTCGGTGGCTTCATAATGTGCTGGCTGCCGTTCTTTACGGTCTACGTGGTGCAGGGCTTCTGCGGCGACTGCGTGAACAAGGTCGTCTTCAGCGTTCTATTCTGGCTCGGCTACTGCAATTCCGCGATAAATCCGTGCATCTACGCCCTCTTCAGCAAGGAGTTCCGCTTCGCCTTCAAGAAGATCATTTGCAATTGCTTCTTCAAGCAGCGTGCGAATACGCTGCGACGTGGTAGCGACGGTAGCCAATTGACCACGAGGTAAACTTTACCAAAGACGAACACATGGATTTTTCCTTTTTATTCTCCATATTATAGGTGTACATTTTCTCGCCGCTGGCTAACTTCAATCGAATAACTACGTCAGTTTTATTCCTTCGGCCAAGTTGACTTTCTTCTTTCCTAACGATTTAATATTAATACGCTTGAAACACCTTATTGCACTTTTATTAATTGCACTGTGACGACATACAGGGCCAATTCCGTAAGCTGACCATAAATTTTCCATATTCGTTTTCATATTCTTTTGAAGCGTAAAACGATTCTCAAAAATGATATTTAAAGGGATGAAAATGAAGTCAACTTGACGCAGTTTAAATATTTTGTATTTTATCAATTTTCAATGTTTGCAGATTTTTTTGTCGACGTTGATATGAATGTACTGGTTTTAAAAATACTCATTTTGATACTTGTGTTGTACAATCCACGAAAATTATATTTTTTTAATTATTCAGTGACATTTTTTAATATAAAACGTATCAAGGCAACTCGTGATTCTCAATATTAAAGTACCCTTTGATACTAGAAGTTTTTCAAACGATAAATTTTACAAGAACGTTACTAATTTTTCCAACTTGTCACTGAAAAAATTTTTTTACGGATTACTGTAATCCCAGAACTGTTAATGCGGATACGTATAGGAAGCTAATAGTATTCTTTACCTGAAGTAGCTTTTCTAGTCTCGCTGTATAAATCATCCTGAAGAGTTTGTTATCACGCTGTCTCATATATTTAACTTACATATGATGTCGTTGTTTATATGATTAAATGTTGATTAATGTTTTTGAAATTATGTTTGCGCATGCAGTTCTCAGCGTTACTCCGGAATACCGAACCTTTCCACGTACCACCAGGCAGACTCGACAACGTCTGTTTTATAATTTGATCATATACAAGCAACAATGATTAACTCGGCATAAATTTGCCGATGATTCGGTAGGTGGTCGTGAGATTAAATATCTTTGAGTCATCATTTTCTTGGCTTCTGCTCGAAAATTGTGAAAAGCTTGTTCAAAATTCATTTGTTCGATTGAGCTTCAGTCAAATAATTCAACATCGCGGCATAAGGTTTCTGCACGGTCGCTTACGCCGTTTGCTCGGAAGAACCGCTATACAGACCAAAAACACTGCACATGACTAATCGCTTACATGCAATATACTGGACTGACCGAGGCAATCATACTCGACAATTTTATTGTTGGCTTGGCACGAAGAGGTACATGGTACACACGCATACATCTTTCCTAGGTTGTAATATGTGGGCCGTAATGGCACATTGTCGCTGGTGTTGATATTGGAATGTTGGCGCTGCCTGGCTGCAATGATGAGAGCTGATGTGCCTAATGAGCTAGCGACTAACGTTGAGAGAGCCGAGCATAAAAAAAGTCATTGACAGTGTGGACTTTGTAGATTTGGTTTTTCAGGAACGACGGGCGACAGCCGGGCAGCCGTGGTGCGCGGCGCGGTCCGTCGCCGGGCTTTTCGCTCGAAGACTCCGACGGCCTCGGGTCCGAAGCCGGCCTCGTCAGCTCGCAGAGCGACTCCAGATGACTGTAGCACTTCGGGCTCGGCGCGCAGTGCCTCACCCTGAACGTGCTCTCCGTGGCCGACGCGACTGCCAGCCTGCAGCCGCCGCCGACGCCGGGCGAGCACGCGCGTAGGGTCTCCTTCGGGGCCGTCGAGACGCGACTCGACGATCAGCAGGTCGAGCGCCGAGCCCTCGTCGACAACGACGACGAAGATGACGAAGACGACGACGACGATGACGACCAATCCGAGCACGGGGCGCCACCGCCGGAGTTCAACGTCGCTGGCAAGCTGCTTCAAGCCTTCGCCAGCGTTTCAGGTAGTCCGAATTCTTTTCTTTTCATCTCCTTCGTTGTTTGCGCATCGACTGTTTTTCGATAAACGCGCTAAACGCGCCCGTCTCGTAACTGCGAAAATCTATTCGAAAAAGCTTTTCAACAACGCCCATAGCGTGGTGTTACAACGCAGTTCAATACTTTTCATCGCAATTAATGAAAGGATAATTCGATCATTAGATATAACTGAGAATTCAATGCAGTAATGCAGTATAATTATTCGCTAATAATGCCACTTGACAAATTATTTATATTATTTCCAGACCATTCATACTTGCACGAGAAGCTATTTCAGTCTTCACTTACGTCTAATGTTGAATTATTTAATCAGCTATAGTAAGACAAATCAATAATCTATAAAAAGCCACAAGTTCAGTTGACAAGCTTAAAACACACTCTCCTTCTTTCTTTTCTGTTCGTACGAAAACAAAAAAATTTTCCGTTTTTATAATCTATGAGTTCGGACTTGAGTTTTGAATAGCGTGTAACGAGGTCATTTATAAAATGGTTAAAAAGTAATGGAGTAGTCTGAATTCATTCAAAAAATTCTGATGTGTATTGCAGGTGCGCCAATTTTGAACAGTCAGCCGGAACCACCTTCTTAATCAAATGTACAATCATATGTTGAATCGAAGACTTTTAAAAACAAGATCTGCAAAAAACCAGCAGAAGTGCATAAATAATAGATCGAAAGTTGAAAATGTTGTCTCAATGTTTACACGCGCGTATAACCTAAGCACAAGCGTATACACAGGACATATGTCGAACAAAAGTATATACATAAACTCATGAATATACGTAAATATTATAAGAATAACGTTATATACCGAAGTGTTTGATTTTTCACGCATTCACGTATGTTTCTCTAACAAGGGGAGGCAGGGAGGTGTCCCTCTCCGATTCTTGAAACTTTGCACATTAATAGATTTTATCGAACAATATTAATTACGAGTTTCTTTCAGCTGCTGATACGATAGCTAAGGGGGTGAAAACCACCCCTAATGCTTACCCCTAAATATCGCCATTAAAATACTTTTACAGGTATCTTCACTTCCAATAATTTTTAACCGAATAAAATTATTTTTATTAATCCAATAACCAATAACCCCCAATAGTAAAATCGACATAAGAATTTGCCTCCCTTATTTTGGAGTCCTATTATATCAAGTATATTTTCGTAAAAAAAATACAAAAATTAACTTAAAATAAATAAAAAAAATTATGTTTACAATCTTCTAGAGTCTTTTTTATTACAGGTTACGATTTTATCATCAAAATTTTAAATTTTAATTGGTGGATCCAATACGCTCGACAAAACTTTATTAAAAACTTTTAATTTCGATAAATAGTGGCTTTTTGACGCCGCTGAATATTAATTTTTATAACCATATTTTCAAAATTCATAATATGGAATCTAATATGGTGGAATAAATTGACAATGAGAGTGAGATGTGTGATTTTTGCAGAATATTTTTACAGATAATTTTATAAGAAAAAAAATCATTACATTTACATAAAGTCTATTAAATAAAAATTTTAATTAATTAAAATGTGTCGACTTTCTATTGGATTAGTCTGTAGAGTTAATAGTTAATAATAATAGTATAAATAAAAGATAATAGTAAACTATAAAATCGCAATCGATTTTTAATAAATTTTAATTGTTTATTTTCAGTAGGAATTACAAACTATCAAGAGATTAATAAAAATATTTATACGTGCAGTCATTTCAAATGAAGAAAAAAAACAATTATAATTCTTCTTAATGTTAATTTGATGACAATTTTTCCTAATTTTGATATACATTCTTTATAACGGTACAATAATTTTGTTAGAGTACAATTTGTTCTATCGACTGAAAATTTGAAATTGTTGATAATCACAGCTGTTTTATATATTATTCCTATGGTTTATAATTTTTGCAATAATGATACTCTGTATAAAATGATTTAAATGTTTACATCAGCCACAAGTTATATTTCCAATATTGTCCTGACCTCTACATACAGGATTTGTTGTATTGAAGCAAAATTCAACAAGATTATGAAATTCTGGAGATCTGGCAGTTAAAGTATCCACTTTTGAACCATGAATATTTAAAAGTATTATGGAATCTTGGAGATGATAACTGATTATGCACAAGAGATTGAATTTTAATAATATTATTTCTTTCGTGTAAACTGACATCATAATCCATGAAAATAATTATATCTGATAATTTTTTTACGAAGTTTTTCAGAAGCGAAATTCGTAAACATCTAGGGGTTATATTTTACTAGTCGTACTCAGTGGTATTGTTATTAGTTTTCAATTCACCTCTTTTGGTACAACTTCTTGTACAGTGCTTTAGCATTAACCACTTCAGGAGTCCAAAAATAGCACAGATGAATTTTTAGTACTTTTCCGAAATACTTTTCTCAGCCATGTCTGAAAAAGTTCCTTAAAAAGTTTTCCAGAATTTGAAGCTCGTATTAATATATTTTCTGGAGTGAATAGGGTTTGCCTAGCCTGGGATCCAAGACCTCCACTTGACTCTTTTAATATTAAAAACAAAGGCGAAAGCAACTTACCCTCTTCTGATATAGTAGGCTGAATAGTATAGCTGTATATTTGTACCTCTTTATTTCCTTTATAAGTCAATGTTCTATCATTGTGAATTTCCAAATTAAATCCACTTTGATCCACTTTGATTAGAAATAAATACGTTTTCTGCATCGTATTTTGTAAGCACCTGTCGGACTTCAGTTCTACAAGATTCACACTGGTCTTCTATTGCATTAATTTTCATTAATGAAGCTTTTGTAACAAATTTAGTAATTTTTCGAGATACAGTATTGTATTTTTTTTTAATTCCAGAATCCACTAATGTGATGCTATGAATGTGAAGGCATATCTATTTCAGCTTTCTTTTGTAAAGCCCATCTTATCAAATCAATATCATGAATAGTTAGTTTTGATGCAATGGCTTCTTTTAAATTATTTAAAACGTATTCCGAAATCTTGAGTAATTTTTCGTATCTGCTGCCTCCACTTCAACTTGCTGTTTCCATCATCGAAATTGTTTCTCGCTACTTACTAGTCGACACCTGTTCCGTACAGTATTTAATAAGTAAGGCTTACTTCTTCCCCTCAACCAGTACTTAATTGCTTTTTCTTTATATTTAAAGTCTTCATTTTTCTGCTCATATGAACAATTCAATATTTCTGAAATATCTTCAGACATTTCATTTTCTTCGTATCCAACACCTTCTGCAATAACTTCATTGTCATCGTAAAAATATAGTGTTGTTTCTTTTTCTACATCAACATAAGAATTTATTACACATTACGTTATTATTTCTGCCAGTATATTGTGTAACGATTTTTCGTCTTTATTAACTATAAACTTAATTTCTCCATCATGGTTCGGAACGAAGGTTCTTGATAATACTGTTGATACGACGGTTGCACTGACAGACACACATTGTATTATTTTATCTATTACTTATTATTTATACGTATTTATTATACGATATAACTTTGTGCATAAATTACACTAACAATAAATTAAGAAATATATATTTAATTTATAGCTTTTTTGACATAAAAAAATTTATAATATAAATTTTAAAGTCAAAAATACGGATTATGCATATAAGGGCAATGTATTAATAATAAGTTGACATACTAATGCTTATGTGATATAATTGAAACTTCAAACTGAACTGGGCCTTTTATAAGACATTTATTTATGTGTTTCATGATACACATATCTAAAAATAAGTTTATTTGATTTCTAATAAAATACAATTTTATACACATGATTAAATACCACAGATTATCAAGTGAAAGATACATAACAATGGTTTGCCACGGCGGTATCACATCCAACCACTGATCAAGAAAAATAATACGATCAATTACGGTTTTCCTGTTTACAATTAGAAATAGCATAAAAATAAATATAAAAAGATATAAATAATTTGATAAAAATAAATAAATAAATATAAGAAAATAGATAAAAATAAATAAATAAATATAAGTAATTAGATAAAAATAAATAAATAAATATAAGTAAATAGATAAAACTAAATAAATAAATATAAGTAAATAGATAAAAATAAATGAATAAATATAAATGATATTTTACATTTTGCTTACTTTTAGCATGCATTAAAAATTTTTTTAATTTTAATTTTAATTTTTGAATTCTTTAAAAAGTTTAAATATTAAATTTTTTATTAAAATAAAAATTATTTTTTTTTAAATAAATTATTGGAAAATTGTTATTTTATCCAAATATAACTTTTATTAATTTAATGGTAGTTTGTAATCTTTATTGAAAACGAAAAATTAAAATTCATTAAAAATACATTACGATTTTATTGTTTATTATTATCTTTGGTGTATACTATTATTGTTATACTACTAACACTACAGACTAATCCAATAGAATAGAAACAAATTTTAATTTAATATATTTCATATAGATATAATAACTATAAGTAAAAATTTTTTTTTTTTCGTGTAAAATTATCTGTAAAAATTACACATCTTAATCTCATTGTCAATTTCTTTCACCATATTAGATTCAATATTATGAATTTTGGAAATAATGTTATAAATTGATATTCAGCAGCGTCAGAAAGCCACTTTTTATCGAAATTAAAAGTTTTTAACCTTCAGAGGGCCGGAGAATCAATATATTGACGCTACCCCCGATTGACACTTTCCCTATGATCAATCAATGATATAAGATACTTTTTATACCAATTTTCTGAGGGCGATATGCCCCTGGAAATCCCGGCTCTCTAAAGGTTAAAAAAGTTTCATTGAGCGTATAGGATCCATCGATTTAAATTTTAATATTTTGATGACGAACTCGAGACCTGTAATAAAAAAACTCTAGAACATTGTAAAAATAATTTTTTTTATTTATTTTGAGTTCATATTTGAATTTTTATTACGAAAATATACTTGATTAAATACAATTTTACCCCCTCCAAAATAAGGGAAACAAACTGATAAGTTGATTTTATTATTAGTATATTGCGTTGATAAAAATAATTTTATTTAGTTCAAAAATATTGATTGGAGGTGAAAATATCAATAAAAGTATTTTAGAGGTAAACTAGGGGTAGTTTTCATCTCATATTGGTTTATTGGGTTATTAAAAATAATTTTATTTGGTTAAAAATTATTGGAAGTGAAAATATCTGTAAAAGTGTTTTAATGACGATATTTAGGGGTAAGCATTAGGGATAGTTTTCAACCCCTTAGCCATCGTACCAACAGCTAAAAACAAACGTGTATTTAATATTTTTCGATAATCTATTGATGTGCCAAGTTTGAAGAAAATCGAAGAGGGACACCTCCCTGCCACCCCTTGTCAGAGCGTGTAAAGTCACGGGGAATAATGAAAAAACTTGTAGCTGAGTTGTGCGATTCTATAAATCGAACACAACATATTTTCCGATGTGTATCTGTACAGTTGAGGTTTTTGCGCATATAGCGTCCTTTTGTTGACTTGTCTGCTTTAATTGAGACTCGATATGCCTTCTTTTGTTTCAAAAGATCAGCGAATATGATCTTATTGAAAAAACATTTACAAGGGAACATTCCCAACCGTCCAGCTTTCAATTTTGTAGCAATTGAGATATGTTATACTATATTAAAAAATAAGAGACAGGTATTTTTTTTATTGGCGGAAAAGTTGTCTAGGGGGTGAAACCCACCCTTAAAAGTCACCCCTAAAAACAGTTAAACAGTAGTAACGTTGATTGTAATGAATCTTTTTTGATGAAACAAAATGGAAAAAATTTTTTTCTTAAAAAACAATAAAACCGCATATTTTTAGACTCGAGGGATTGAAACCCCTACGATGTACAGGGGAAAAACTACATTTTTGAGTGGATTTTTCGTGTACAGAATCACAAAATTATCATAAAAAAATTGAAAAATAAATTTTCACCTAGAAAATGATATAATCAAATTGACGTGTTTCGGCGTTTTTTCATTTTTATGTATTTCGAGGGTGTACTACCCCTAAACCGTATTAA